CATAATCCCACTTTCCTGTTCCAACCTTGTAAAAACCTGAATGTCAATATTAAATGTCTGGATCCTCCTCCGTGACTTCCTTTTCCTGTTTCAGTTCCAAGTGACCCCTCCGTGTGCTTTTTGTCCATCTGCCTATTCCTCGCTTCACTTTTCTGTGTGATTCACGTCACTCTCTCAACGGCTTTGCTCCATTTTTCTACTGCCTTACCCACCCAGCGAAACCGTACCCTAGAATCGATTCGACTCTTCATCTTCATGTCTTAGTGAATGAGTAAGCCATGCCCATTGGTGGCTTTCAAGCCACCGTGTTTATAGACTCGAACCTCAGGGGCCCTCGGTGTTGCCGTATAATCTCTCTTTATGTCCTTTTATTAATGTTGAAATGAAAAGCTTTTCCTCTTCGAACTTAGGTCCAGTGCTTAGAGGTCTGTAAATTAATGGACAATAGATAGATTAACAGGAGAAGAGAAAAAGCTTATTTATATGTATTTATATTTATATGTATTTATATGTATGCAGGAGCATTCAGATGAAGAGGCTTTGCACAGCTAGAGATAGGGGTTTATTTACCAACTTAATATGGTGGCCAGGCCCACGGGAGGCCAAGGTGGGAGGATTGTTTAAGGCCAGGAGTTCGAGACCACCCTGGACAAAATAGCAAGATCCTGTCTCTACAAAAAATAAAAAAATTTAGCCAGGCGTGGTGGCACCCACCAGTAGTCCTGGCTACCCAAGAGGCTGAGGGGGAGGATCTCCCTGAGCCTTGGAAATCAAGGTTGCAGAAAGCGATGAGCAGGCCACTGCACTCCAGCCTGGGTAACAGAGCAAGACCCTATCTCTGAAAAAAAAAAATTTTTTTTTTTAAATCAATAATAACGTGGGAAAGGAGAGAGAGGAGAAAGGGCTTCTGTGGGAAAATTAATGGGCTTTTAAAGGAAAGGCGAGTGGGCTTTTTAGGGAAACAAATGAAGCTGTGACGGTCTGTGATAATGTTTAGTTATGCAATTTCTCATTCAGGGGCAAGCGCCTCCTTCATGGCAGTGAAGGTCGCCAAGAGGGGATTTCAGCAGCTTCATTTTCAGAAATCTCTGCCTTTAGTCAAATAAGGGAAGCTTCAAAAAGGCTCCTCTCTGCATCAACTGTGTCTCAGATGTCTTCAGTTTAAAATTACCTGCATACCAACTCTGTGGGTCCCTACGTTAGCATCCTCTTCCGTTTCCTGAGGGCCTCGTGGTGGGCAGAATAATGACCTCCCGAAGGTGTCCATGTCCTAATCCGTGGAGGGTGAATGTTAGGTTACCTAGCAAAGGAGAATTAAGATTGACGATGAAATTAAGCTTGGTAATCAGATGACTTTAAAATCAGGAGATTAACCTGGCTCTAGCGGGCCCATTGTAACAAGAAGGGTCCTTAAAAGCCGAAGAGGGAGGCAAAGGAAGAAAGTCAAGGATGTGACGACAGAATCAGGGTCACCGAGATGCTACGTTGCCGGCTTTGAAGAGGAGGAAGGGACCATGAGCTTAGGAATGCAGGTGGCCTCTATAAGCTGGAATAGGTTCCAGAAGGGAACACAGACCTGCTGACATCTCCACTTTAGCCTACCAGACCCATGCTGGACTTCTGAGCTATAATTTTTTTTTTTGGAGACAGAGTCTTTCTCTGTTGCCCAGGTTGGAATGCAATGGCACGATCATGGCTCACTGCAACCTCAAACTCCTGGGCTCACATCATTGTCCTGCATCGGCCTCTCCAGTAGCTGGGACTATAGGCACGGGCCACAATGCTTAGCTAGTTTTCAAATTTTTTGTAGAGATGGGGTCTCACTGTGTTGCCTAGGCTGGTCTCTAACTCCGGGCCTCAAGCAATCCTCCTGCCTTGGCCTCCCAGAGTGCTGGGATTACAGGTGTAAGCCACTGTGCCTGGCCTGACTTACAGAAATGTAAGATAATAAATTTTTGCAGTTTTAAGCCGCTAAGTTTGTGGCAATTTGTTAAGGCAGCGATAAAAAACTAATACAAGTCTATTCCAATATTCATCATTTTCTCAAATCCCCAATCTTACCATTCACGCCCCCTACCCTCAGCAGATCCCCCAATTTCAAAGAGAAAGTCTAATTATGGGTCAGATATTTATTTCAATTTTCTCTAATTATAATGTTTATCTCCATGAAGATACATCATCCTAACTCCTTTCCGTTCTGCTACAATATTTTAAAAAGTTTCTTTTCCTTTTCTGATTCTAATTCCTCTGGATCTCATTTCCATTCTGCTTCCTGATATTACTAACAACCACCTTTTCTTCATGGCTTGTCCTCTTGGCACGCACACGTGTTCTGGCCTGTCTGATTCAAACCGTATGAGAAATATTTTCTCCGAACCCCAAGACAGCCTCTAGCTATATTCTTTTCTCTCACCTTCCTTTTATACTAAAAGCTTTAGGAAGAGTTTTAACTGTTTCCATTCCTTTACTTACTATCGCTGCTTGGGCCATTATAGAATGAACTTGTCTCACCACATTCATCAGAGGCCCCTGTTGGCTGGGCGTGAGCAGAGCCATGGGGGAACACTGCATATGGCCTGTCTTCTACCATATTTTATTTTTTTAAACTTGGGAGTGGTAGTGAAAATAAATATACTTGGACCCAGTAAATATGTTATATATGTAGCCTAAATGCCCCCAGGCCTGTGATGAGCCCTTTCTGAAACTTGGAGCTTGCCAGGGGAAAATTAACCCTTGAAAGTTCACCTTTGGAGTAAGCACCAAGAAGGTTCTATACTAGGTGCTTACCAGCTGTTTGTAACTGGTGCACAGGTGTTCCCTGGGAGTCCCAATACTGGCCTCTGCAAATACTGGGAAGTCACTCTTACTAGGCAAAATAGAGGAGAGGCCATGCGGTAGAGGGCAGAGGGCAATGGCCTGGGAGGCCTGTAAGTCATCTAACTTTTGACCTTGTGCAAAGTAGTCTCCTTTGGACATCTGTGAGCTTCCTCTCTCCCTAAAATTCTGGGACCTAAAATGACCAAACACTAAAAGTGAAAAAGGACATTTGAAAATAGTTAATCCCCCAAATAAACTGACCTATCTATATGAAAAATAGCAAACTATTTTAAAAATTAGGCCGGGCGCGGTGGCTCACGCCTGTAATCCTAGCTCTCTGGGAGGCCGTGGCGGGTGGATTGTTTGAGCTCAGGAGTTCGAAACTCGCCTGAGCAAGAGCGAGACCCCGTCTCTACTAAAAATAGAAAGAAATTAATCGGCCAACTAAAAATATATAGAAAAAATTAGCCGGGCATGGTGGCGCATGCCTGTAGTCCCAGCTACTTGGGAGGCTGAGGCAGGATTGCTTGAGCCCAGGAGTTTGAGGTTGCTGTGAGCTAGGATGACGCCACTACACTCTTAACCCCAACAGAGCGAGACTCTGTCTCAAAAAAAAAAAAAAAAAAAAATTTAATTAAAAATTAGAATTAAAATAAGGTGGAAACTTTTTTTGTTGTTTGTTTTAGTGGTTTTAGCTCTATTTTGAGTGACGCATGACTAAGTATTGTTATATGTGTTTCAATGGACGTTTTATCAATTTATTTTACTTTTAAACAAAATTGATTTTTCTTTATATATCTGCATTAGAGCAAATTTAGAAAATCACACTAAAAGAGAAAGAAAAAAAAAGACATCCATGTTACTACCGAGAACAAATTAACATTTTCCTGTACAGTATTGCTATCCAGCTATTTCTATGTATAGGTTTTTGGTTTGTTTTTATGTTACATAATTATAGAATGCTATATTCAGCTTAAGATGCTTTTAAAAAAATGTGCTTTATATCACTTTCATATGTATTTTCTCCATTTTTATTAAATCTCCTCCTGCAATCGCCTTCAGAGCTTGTTGGAAAATTTTTTATCTTTACTGGTGTCATAAAATTTTATCCTTTGGAGAGTGTTTTTCAATTTTTGCTACCAATCATTAAGAGTCAGAGCTGAAGAATTTGTCCTAATTTTGGCTTAAGAGGAAGCATGACTAACATGTATTTGTATATGGGTGTTTAAACTGACAGAAATTAGTCCAAAAGAAAAATTTTGCCGAAATGTTTGGATGCATCATGAATATATATCTCAAGGCCCTTTAAACGTATACAGCATAGTATTTTTAATATTAAAAAAAATGATGTGTAACCAATTTTTAAAATCTAGGCTTCTTGGCTAAAACTTTCCTGTATTGGGTAAACAATTAACAGTAATTCCTAGTGTTGATTTAAACAACTTAACCGGTATTATGATTTTTGGTTGTAAATGCGAACCAGAAAAATCTCAGTGCAGGTCCTAATTTCCGAGGGTGGGTGCAGCAGGCGACTGTCACGGGGACGGCCGTACACCCTCTCGAAGCCGGATAGGCAGCTCTTTTCCTGAACCTGCAAATTAACGTTCGAGGTTTGCACACCCTCAGACTGCTGCAGACGAGTACTTAACTGCAGGAACGTGAAGACTAACATTTAAACTGTTCACAGTGATAGTTTCATTCAAAAAATGTCTCCGCCTCCCTCCCCCGCATGCTGGATTCAGTTCCTGATTTTACTTGGCCCCGGGGCGCAAGCGTCTCATTTCTTAGAAGCTCATTTTCCAGAAACTGCCTCCTCGCTTTCGGGGTGGGCGACGTGTGTGTGTGGGGGGGACCCTCAGGTGCTCAGGGGGCTCCGGCCGGCGGCAGCGACCAAACCCGTCTAGGTCAGACGAGGTACTGAGCGGCCCGGGTGGCGCCCGGCGATTGCCCGAGCTAACTGTCCCGGTCCCTTTCGTGCGAGCCCCAGAGGCGGGAGCTTTAGGTGTGTCCTCGAGCGCTCCCGGGTGGCTTTCGCGGCGACCCGGGCCCCGCGGAGGGCGGTGGCTCCTGTCCCAGGGCGGCCCGGCCCCCGCGCGGGCGCTTATCTGGGCCCGGCAGGCGGCGCCTCGCCTTCCGCCCGCCCGCCCGCCGCCCCGACCCGCGGAGCCGGCAGCTGAGGAGCGGCCGCCACAGCCGGACGCGTGTGTCGTGGAGCTCGGCGCCGCCTCAGCCCGCCGCCCGCCGCCCCTCGGCGCGACCCCCGGCCCTGCGCCTTCCCCGGCCGGTCGCCGCGCGGTGAGTGCCCGGCCTGCGGGGAGCGCTCGGGCGCGCGCGGCGTCCCGGGAAGGGCTGTGCCCTGTGTCCCCGCGGACCCGGTCCCGGCGCGCGGGAGGGAAGAGGGAGTCCCCAACGATCTGACCGAGATTGGGGGACGCGGCGAGGGGGCAGCCTGGAAAGCAGATTTTGGGAAAAGCCCTTCACAGTTTAGAAAGCGTGGCGCGGACGCCCGGCGTCACAGCTGAGTGGAATCTGCTTCTTCAGGGTTTGCGTGGAAGCGCCGGCCGACTCGTCTCCAGTTTCCGTCGGTGATCGCCGATGCTCTGCCTCTGAGCGCCGGGTCCCCAGAGCAGAGCCTTCGGGGACACCCCGCCGCCGCCGATCCGGGTGAGCGGACGGCGAAAGCCGTTGGCGCTGAGGGCGCGGGTCCGGAGAGGGCGGCGGGCGTCCGTATCTATTTCTTAGAAGACAGAAAACGAGGCAAATGGGTTGTAAGCTTCTCACGGTTTAATTTGAAAGTGCAAAACACACACTGACGATGCAGAGTGGTTTTTCAGAAAACGATGCGTTGGAGCAACTAATTCGGGGTCTGGTAGTGTGTTCAGGTTCAGTTGGTAAAATTCTTGCCCCTCTCCAAATGTAGGAAGCCAAAGTTCATATTGGAGAGTTAACTTATTGAGCCCAGAAGTTACTACAGGTGGGGGAATTTTTTTCTTCTTTTCTTTCCTTTTTTTTTTTTTTTTGATACAGTCTCACACTCTGTTGCCGGGGCTAGAGTGCCGTGGCATCAGCCTAGCTCACAGCAACCTCCAACTCCTGGACTCAAGAGATCCTCCTGCCTCAGCCTCCCGAGTAGCTGGGACTACAGGCATATGCCACTGTGCCCGGCTAATTTTTTCTATATATTTTTAGTTGTCCAGATAATTTCTTTCTATTTTTAGTAGAGAC